AAAAAAAAAGAAAGCCTTTTTTTCTAACTTTTAAGTTCAGGGGTTTATGTGCAGGTTTGTTACGTAGGTAAACGTGTGTCGTGGGGGTTCGTTGTATAGATTATTTCATCGCCCAGGTATTAAGCCTACTACCCATTAGTTATGTTTCCTGATTCTCTCCCTCCTCCCGCCCTCCACCATCCAATAGGCCCCAGTGTGTGTTGTTCCCGTCTGTGTGTCCATGTGTTCTCATCATCTTGCTCCCACTTATAAGTGAGAACATGTGGTATTTGGTTTTCTGTTCATGTATTAGTTTGCTAAGGATAATGCTGTCTACAGATGTGTAAGTGTACAATACAGTGTTGCTAATTATAGGCACAATGTCATACATCAGATCTCTAGGTCTTACTTGTCTTGCATAACTAAAATTTTATGCCCATTAACTAGCAACTCCCGGTTCCCTCTCCCCATCAGCCCCTGGCAACCATCATTCTATTCTTTGCTTCTACGAACTTAACTATTTTAGATACCTCATATAAGTGAAATCATGCAGTATTTGTTCTGTGACTGGCTTATTTCACTTACATAGTGTCCTCAGGCTTCATCTATGTTGTCACATAATGCAGAATTTACTTCTTTTTAAGGTTGAATAATATTCCATGATATGTGTATACCACATTTTCTTTATTCATTCATCTGTCAGGTACGTTTACGTTGTTTCTACCTCTTGGCTTTTGGGAATAGCTTTGCGATGAATGTGGGAGCTCAGATATCTCTTTGAGATCCTGATTCCAATTCTGTTGGATGAATACCCAGAAAGGGGATTACTAAATCATATGGTATTAATTTTTACTTTTTTTTTTTTATTTTTTGAGACAGAGTCTCACTCTTGTTGCCCAGGTTGGAATACAATGGCACGATCTCAGCTCACTGCAGCCTCCACCTACTGGGTTCAAGCAATGCTCCTGTCTCAGCCTCCCCAGTAGCTGGGATTACAGGCCCCCACCACCACAGTTGGCTAATTTTTGTATTTTAAGTAGAGATGGGGTTTCACCATTTTGGCCAGGCAGGTCTCAAACTCCTGCCCGGTGATCCACCCGCCTTGGCCTCCCAAAGTTCTGGGATTACAGGTGTGAGCCACTGCACCCAGCCCGTATGGTAGTTCTAATTTTAATTTTTTGAGAAACCACACAGTATAGTTTTCCACGGTAGCTGCACCATTTCGCATTGCCATCAACAGTGTACAATGATTCCAGTTTCTCTACATCCTCACCAACCCTCGTTGTCTTAGTCTGTTTTCTGTTGCTTATTACAGAATAAGCAACATAAAATAACATGGATACCTCAATATGGGTAATTTATGAAAAGTAAAATTTATGTCTTACAGTTCTGGAGGCTGGGGACCCCAAGGTCAAGGGGACACATCTGGTAGCGCCTTCTTGCTGGTGGGGACTCTCTGCAGAGTTCAAGGTGGCTCAGGGCCTCCCATGGTGAGTGGCTGAGTGTGCTGGCTTAGTCTCTCTTCCTCTTCTTAAAAAGCCACCAGCCCCACTCCTGTGAGAACCATGAACCCCCTAACCCATTAATCTGTGGGGAAAAGAAAGATCAGACTGCTACTGTGTCTGTATAGAAAGGAGTAGACATAAGAGACTCCATTTTGCTCTGTATTTGAGATGCTGTTAATCTATGACCGACCCAACCTTGTCCTTGCAAGAGACATGTGCTGTGGTGACTCAAGGTTTAATGGATTTTGGGCTGTGCAGGGTGTGCTTTGTTAAACAAGTGCCTGAAGGCAGTTTGCTTGTTAAAAGTCATCACCATTTTCTTAATCTCAAGTACCCAGGGACACGTACACTGCCAAAGGTCGCAGGGACCTCTGCCTGGGAAAGCTAGGTATTGTCCAAGGTTTCTCCCCATGTGATAGTCTGAAATGTGGTCTCCTGGGAAGGGAAAGACCTGATCGTCCCCCAGCCTGACACCTGTGAAGGGTCTGTGCTGAGGAGGACTAGTATAAGAGGAAAGAAGGTCTCTTGGCAGTTGAAATAGAGAAAAGCATCTGTTTCCTCCCCATCCCTGGGCAATGGAACATCTCGGTGTAAAAC